CCTGAGACAATCATTGGGTCTCTACTGTGACTGTCAACACACTTTTCTAATTTTGAGGGTGGTTTTTGTATGGAAACATGTCCTCTAAGCTTGGGACAGACATTCAAAAAGCCTGAGCCTGAACTGATTCAATCTTTGCAATTTAGTCTAACCTGGCTAGGCTAAACCAGTTTGTAACTGTACAGACATCTCCTCTGGACTGAAAAAATTCAGGCATGTGCCTGCAGTGGCTGAGACTAGAAGCTGTAGGGTGCTAAAGCAGCTCTCCCTTCCCTTTCACAGTGCTGAGCTGAGGGAGGCATGGCCAGGCCCTGGCAGGATGCTCTTATTATTTGCTGCCCCTCCCCAAGCAGCTTAGCAGGGAATGCTTATCACCCCTAACTCAGTGTTTATTAGTCCATTAAGAAAATAAAGCCTCTCTCCATTAGTTCAAGCTCTTCTTAAACAGTTTTTTCCAAGGAAGGATATTAAGCTACTGGTTGATTAGCTCCAAAAAGCCTGTCTGCCTTTGTCATCTCCCACAACACAGATTTTAGACAGCATGTGGTCTGCTAGCTAATGCTGAGGTGTTTGCATAAAGCAGAGGGGCAGGGGAAATAATCCCTGCTTAGCAGGGAGAAGCCAGGCAGATGCTCTGTTCCTGCAAGTCTCTGCCAGAGCTCTGGCCAGGGAGTAGCGGGGATCCCTGCTGTGGAGCAGTGTCCCATCCAGCCCAGAGAGCATGCTGGGGGAGTCTGAATCAGCAAGGGGTCTGGGACAGACACTGTATAAACTGGTTTGACATAAATCAGTTAAGTCTGATACTACATTCAACCAGGTTTATCTCAAACCAGTTTCAACCATTTTCAAACTGTTTAATATGCACTGAACATCTGTTCTGTTACAGGTTTAAACCCGTTTCTGATCACTTAAACTGGTTTATGTGTAATGTCTGTCTCTAGCCCTACAAACTGACCCAATTGGTATGTACGTTTCTTCACAAGTTATGGCTGGAAACTCTGGCTGCCACCCCTCCCCCAGTGTCTGGTGTGTCGCAGTATTAATTTCCCCATGGAAGTGCTGTGGGGCAGGAATGGGAGCTCCACACCCTGCTCAAATCGTCACGGGGGGGAGGGCGTGCAGATGCAGGCATTGGTCTCCGGGTGCCTGAGACCCATGGTATGCTACTGTCCTGGGCTCAGCCCAGCCACAGTACAGCCCAGCTAGAGTGGAACAAGAGCTCCTCTTGACCCTGGGACAGGGACACTGGGTGGCAAGTGAGGGAGGAGACATGCCTCTGAGCACGGAGGGGAAGGAGGGAAACTTACAATCTTCAGGACTTAAAGAAGTCCTGGGCTGGTGCTGTTCCTGCTGTGTGATCAGAAACTGGGGTGAGGTTGTGCTACTACACCCCCTTTGAATCCATTCCTGGTGCTGGACAGATTATCTGTGTCATTCCTTCCCCCCCCCCCCCCCCCACATTTGGACAATTCTGCTGTTCAGGCTGTTTTATCTTGGATTATAAAGCTGCTTGTTTGTGACTTCAGTGCTTTGGAGCAAGCTTCAGTTGAGGGTTTTTCAAGCTTTTGGCATGTACTAACCCAAGCTGCTGCATCAGACGCAGCTGGCCCTTCTGCATGCCTGAGTTTCAGACCATTCTCATTGTACTAAATAAGATAATTGCTTTAGGATATGATTGCTTTGAAAGATTGGCAGTGGTCAAGCAGAGATTGGAAGTTACTGTAATTAGCTTTAGAGGACTGTAGGACAAGTGACTGATGATGATGTTTTGTCTGATTTTAATTTCACATTATTTAACTCCTGCATGAGATATACTGGGCAAGCTCTCTGTAAGATTTTTATTTTGTAGATTGTATTGAAAAGTAAAAATATTGAGCTCTAGACTCTGCTTCACTTTCATCAAATGGCCTAGAGAGGGAGTGTATCTGCAGCCACCAAATGTACCCCAGGTTTCTATTCAGTTTTCAAACTATACACTTATATCTGAGTAAATTTAGATCCTGCGTTTTCAGAATGGGCATATTTGTTTGTTTCCATCAAGTGGTGGCAGCAAGTGGTTTGTGGTGAGTTTTGGCCAATACTGACTTACCTTAAATGAAGACATTGGACTTTCAATCCGGAAATGAACACCAAACCCACCTTTTTCTCTTTGAATGTATTGACACTTGTTTTTGTTGGTATGTATCTGACACCTGAGCCTGGTGGTTCTCAACCTCATTAGACTTCAGGCACCCACCTAGAAAATAACAGCTCTTAAGGCACCTATACATGTGCAGCGAGGCTGCTCCAGTGTGCAGGAATTAATTGAGTCTGTAGGAGCATGGTAATTACTGTGCTTCAGCAAACTCCAGTGCCACGTGTATTAATGTCCCTGTCCTGAAAAATGGCGGCAGGGGCACTTTAGCTAAAGTTCGTCAAATGAAACGCACAAAGTGTCCCTGCCACCATTTTCTAGCATGGCGATGTGGATACACGTGATGCTCGGGGGTTTTAATTAGAGCAGCTCTTAGAGCTGCTGCAGTTAAAGCAGCCTTGCCCGCCGAGCACATGTATAAACTCCCTTCGCTTTCACTCATTTTTCATTACTGATAAATGACGCAACAATTCTTGTGTTGCAACCAACTTGGACTACAGCAGGTCAGAATGTTTTTGACAGTATAGATCCCCATTTGAAATCTCTGTTTATCTTTCGAATCATACGTAGGCTTTTGCACACGTCACAGTGCCAATAATGTGTGGCACCCTTATAAGGATCTCATGTCACTTGGCTGTGAATCGCTCTATTGGCTAGTCTGTGGCTTCTATACCACTACTCTCTTGGAGGCATTTGTGGTCAATTTATTTCTGAACTTACTGTTGTAGTCATTCAGGATTTGAGGCCTCCTTAACTCACTTTGCAGATGTCCTCTCAGGTTGTTGGTTTTAGCAGTTAATTAGGCAAAAAAAGTCTGCCTATAGGTGTGCTAGTTTGTATTCTAATTAGAATGGTTCCACATCTTGCTTTGTTCACTATTTAGGTATATTGTTTCTACTACAGAAAAATCTATATTTGGTTGTATAAGTCTAGCCTAGCAACTTTGGCTCTTTCCAAAAAGTAGTTGTTTTCTTATGAAACACCTTGGGCACTGAACACAACTAAATGTCTGTCTACAGAAAGATAGTCTTTCAAACAGGGAATTGACAATGCACAAATCCGTCTTTGTTCTTTCTAAGAACACTTGCCAGAACACAGTTGGCACTTCTACCACGGACAAGCATTTGGCAGTCTTTTCTTGTATGTTCTTCCCCACATTCCTTCTAGGCAGTAAAGTGTTTTTGTTGTTGACTTGTTTAATGCATTTTCTTGCTTGTTTAATCCTTTGCGCTTTACATATAGGTAGAGGTTTAAATTTAAAAAAAAATAAAATGACTCATGAACATACAAACTCTGTTGCTTCCTGTTCCGTTTCTCAGAAGGCAACATAGATTCACACCTTTTAGCCTTTAAATCGGAGAGAGATAGCATAAGCTTTTGTGAGACAGCTCACTTACACTCTGAAAGGACACAGCATGTGCTTTCATAGCACCTCTCCTATTTCTCAGAGCCACAAACATATCTAGTTGAAGATCCGTTATCAACTTTTAGGTGCTTCCCTTCTGTTTCTTATGATTAGGACATACTTTTTATGCTCAACTCTTGTGTGGAGTGAGGACTTCTCAAAGTTCTATACTAGTTTCCTAATTTAGCTTCCCCTGTTTGAGTGAACTGAAAACCATTAATGTATCAGGCACTTCAGAACCACCTGACTGCCTTCAGGATGTCTGTATTCAAATGGTTCTGCTTGAAAAGAGAGAGAAGCACTGTTTGAAATTCCTCTGTTGTCTTCAATATATCTAGAAAAATCAGCACTCATGGAATTTCTAACTGCTTCTTTCCTCCATTCAGGATATGTTGTTCTTAATTTCTTTTTACTCCTAGTATCATGTGGTGTTTATTCACTGATCTCTTGCAAATACCTTGAGCACTAAGTGATCTGATTTGATTCTCAGTCACAGTCCAAGTGGCTGTGCGTGACTGCAAAGACTTCAGTGCATCCTGCATAGCTTTTTAATTTGGGAAGCTCAGCTGTTAAAAGTATAGGGCATTCATACACATGCTTTTTTGCCCGTGATGTGCCGGAGATCTGTTGCTTCAGAGCAGACTCAATTAATCGAGCCTGCTCTGCATGCGAGCTGAGATGAACTGTGCTGTACCGTGTGCAATTGTATAAGCAGCGAAGTGCGTGTCAGCGCACAGAAAAAGGTAGCAGTGTGCTTTTGAACTAAAGGTTCTTTAGAGGTGCTTTTAGCTCAAAAGCACATCGCTGCCATTTTCTCAGTGCTGACATGCATTTTGCCACTTATGTAACTGTAAGTGTCACAGCACTGGGCGCTTACATCTGTAAGAAGTGCCCGTAGTCTCCAAACATGCTGCTCTGATTGCAGGATGGTAGTCCTATGTATTTTACATCATGTCCTTGTTCTTTTGAAAGCCTTTATGCAACATTTAATTATTTTTAAATATTTCTAAGTTTTGCTATATAGATCCACTACTTGATATTTATCAAGATATTTGGTATTCATTTAGCGTTTTGAATATTTTAAGAGCTTTTTTTGTAATACTATATGGTTCATCATATGTTGCTTTTCTCATGCATCTGGCATAAGCACATTTAAAATATATATCTGATGAATGTGGTTACAGTGACTTGATGATGACTTCTGCAAATTGATCAAATTTCTCATGTGAATATGCAACGAGGGGTCAACCAAGATCAGTAGAGCTTGTGAATTGGGATCAAAGTACTGGTCAGGCTTGTTATCAGAAAGGCCTTTAGAATAAGAACATTGTGTCCTAGAACTGGGAGAAGAGCCATCTCTAGTCAGGAACATCAGGTCAAGAAGCACCTGGGTTTTTTAGAAATGGTTAGGTTGATCAATGTGCGAACTGGTATATGTTTGGGCAGTTTAGATCAGGCAACAAATGGCCAGCCTGTTCTAACTTCTTTGGATCACCCTTCCAGCTTTTTTTTAAATAGAGGGATACCATTTGGCACCCTCCAGCAGCTGATTTTAATAAAAAATTGCATACTTACTTTAGCAACTTGTAACCTCCATCAGACCTCTTGATTACACCATTCTGACCTGGCAACATGTTGCTATTTAAATTACCAGCTTGTCTGAGAACCTTCTGTATGAAGTGTTTATTCTCAAATGTATGAAGAGTTTTACTCCCTTTTTTTTAGTTTTACGCCCTATAAATATATAAGGGGTGTACATCAGGATCTGGGGGAACACTTGTTCACCAGAGCACCCCAAGGGATGACAAGGTCCAACGGTCACAAACTCCTCCAAGACTGTTTCAGGCTGGACATAAGGAAGAACTTCTTTACTGTTTGAGCCCCCAAGGTCTGGAATAGACTCCCTCCAGAAGTGATTCATAGATGTTAGGGTCGGAAGGGACCTCAATAGATCATCGAGTCCGACCCCCTGCATAGGCAGGAAAGAGGGTTGGGGCTAGATGACCCTAACTAGATGCCTATCTAACCTCCTCTAGAAGACCCCCAGGGTAGAGGCCCCGCAGGGTAGGGAAGAGCACCACCTCCCTTGGGAGCCCATTCCAGCCCTTGGCCACTCTAACTGTGAAGAAGTTCTTCCTAATGTCTAGTCTACATCTGCTCTCTGCTAGCTTATGGCCATTATTTCTTGTAACCCCAAGAAATAGTGTGCAAACACCTAATCTGGACTCCTTTAAGAGTCAATTGGATGTTTATCTTGCTGGGATCCTTTGACCCCAGCTGACTTCCTGTCCCTGGGGCAGGGGCTGGACTTGATGATCTCCCAAGGTCCCTTCCAGCCCGAATGTCTATGAAATCTATGAACTTAATTCATCTAGGGAGGTGTACTACACAGATCGGGCTTACCCATGCCTGATGTAACTGAATGTGTGTATGTGTTCATAGTACAGCCCTGAGGCTGAGAAAGCTAGGCTGCTCACTCAAGTCCCCAGGCTGCAGGTTTTCTACCCCCGCACCCTGACAGGTTATTTTGAGCCCTCCAACCCCCCTCGCCTCCCAGACAGACAGACAACCTCCCCACAACATAGACCTGCCAGCCCCTCCAAATACTGCCCATCCCTCCCCACTCCTACTAAAATTGCTGTAGGAACTAACTGTAAGCTGGAGCAGAGCCAGGGCTGAGAAAAATGCTGTTTCACTGTGTCACTGGGGAAGGATATATCCTATCACTGAGGAAGGGAGGGTAGTCTTAAAATACTACCATATTACACTGAAAAATTAACAAAGTCAGGAAATGGAGGAATCAGACAAAATAATAAGAGGAGAGAAACTGAGAGACATGCATATTATTTTCACAAACATTTGGGGTAAATAAGGTATGTCCTACTATGAAAAGAAATAGCTTTGCAATCTGATACAATAAAATGGGATTTACTTTTTCTATATTCATTCTGATTAGCATTTTCTTTTCCTTTTTTTTTCTTCCCTAGGGCCTATAGATCTGCACTGGAATATACCAAACGGAGCCTAGGAATATTTATAGATCTTCAGGAGAAAGAGAAAGAGGCCTATGCCTGGCTCCAAGCAGGAAAGATATATTACATTCTGAGGCAGAATGAACTAGTGGATCTCTATATCCAGGTAAGTTATATTACCCAGATCAGTGGACCTAAGGCACCCCTCCATAACTTGTGAATTGAGTAGCGCCCAATTAAAAATTAGTTTTTTAATATTGCAGTGTGGGGGGTGGGTAATATTTTAATATTGCCTCCTCGCAGTGGGGGGTGGGAGATCATTCAGACAAGGACAAGCCTGAACCTTATCTCGTCACACCTTATATCACCTGTCAAAGAATGTGGCAGCAGCCTGGTTGAGGATCCCTGGTCTAGATTTTAGAATAAGTCTACCTGTATGGTATGGTCATGATTGGGATATAGATGAAGGGATGACTCTGTGTGGCATGGCAAAAGAGAAATCTTCTAATATCATGAGCCAAAAGAAAAGCTTTGTGAGGTGATGCTTTGAATAAATTATAGTGCTGTTATTGGTGCTGCATTATTAAAGGCCTGTCAACTTTTGAATGCAACATTCTGTTTTAGTGGTTTGCTGTTTTGCTTGTGAAACATTATCTTGGGGAATGGATCTCTCTTCTGTTTTACTCTCAAGGGTCTTTTGAAACTCCAATTAACAGCTCTTCCAATAGCCCTTTTTCTTTCCTCCACTGCTATTACACTATAGTAGTTGCACCCAGAGGCCCTGCTCTGTAATTCAGTCACCATTTTGCCAGGTGCTTTATCAGCACATAGGAGATGTTGTCTGCCTAAAAGAACTGGAAGGGAATACGGAGGGTGCAGGTCATTTTCTAGCCAGCCATTGATTGGCTATATGACCTTGGGAAATGGCTTCATTTCTGTGCCCTTGTTCTCTAATGCTAAGTACAGGCAGTCAAAAAGCCCAAGGCTGAATGGATTCAACCTTTGCAGGTTTAGTCTTAGCTAGATAGATTAAACCCATAAGCAAGCAAACAGACTTTTGATTCTGGAAATGCCTCACATACCTGCAGTGGCCCAGGCCAGAAGCCCCGGGGATGTGCTAGAGTATACTTCCCTGCTCAGTTGGAGCAGACAGCTTGGGCCAAGGCTAGCCTGCCCACCCTGCAAGCGGGGCCAGGGGGAGGTTGCTGGGGAGGTGCAAAGTAGGGCTGTGTGAAATTTCTCCCGGTACTTCATTTTGAAGATGTTTCGATGCATTTGAACACAAAACAGCGAAAACAAAACAAAAGCCTTTGAAACAGCTTTGAAATGAAACAAGGGCACTCAAAACATTTCAAAACCCAGGCTTACTTGACTTTAGTGCCAGTCCCAACCAGCAGCACCAGCCTTCTGTCATCTGGCAGGCAGATTGGGAGCTTGCCTGCATGTCCAGAAGAGCTGTGGGGCTGTGCTGGACTGCTCCCGGGGCTGCGGGCCCCCGATCTGCCTGCCAGATCACAGGAGGCTGGTGCTGCCAGCTGGGGCCAGCAGCAGCACTGATCTTCCTGGCGCTGGCTATGGAATGGCCTATGGGCGAAATGTTGAAACAGCATTGAAACAATGAAAGATTTAACTTGAATCTGGAGGGGATCTGGGACAGAAGTTCAATAAATCTAGTTAGCCTAAATCAGTTAAGTCTGATACTACAGTAAAAGCTCTGTTATCCGGCATCCTCCGGGAATGGGGGATGCTGGGTAACAAAATATGCCAGTTAATTGAGCAGCCCCGGCCACTGCTGCTCCTGCTGCATCTGGGGCATCCCTTCACCCCACCCGTGGCATCACCGTCCCTCCTGCCACATCACTGCCCGTCCCGCAGGCCCGGTGGGCCCCGTGGGACAGGGAGGTGGGCCCCGCACAGCCTGTTATGCCCCCAGGCCGTGGGGGCTTGGCAGTGCAGGCTGCTTTGGCCCCAGCTGTGGGGGCTCGGAGAAACTGGAAGTGCCGTGGTGGGCGCTTCCAGTTTCACTTTCTTACAAGCCAGCATGCCGGTTAGTAGAGCATGCCGGCTTGTAAGATGCTGGATAGCGCAGCTTTTCCTTTATATCCATCCTGGTTTATCTTAAACCAGTTTCAGCCATTTTGAAATTGATTTATGCCCACTGAACTTCTGTTGTGTTATAGATTTTAACAGGTTTCCAATCGCTCAGACCAGTGTATGTGTAATTTCTGTCCCTAGCCTAGGTATTGTTACTTTATATAATAGTTCATTGAAACAGAGTTGGAATTCAGGTTCCTTGTAATGCTAACGCAGTAGGCCTACCTAATTTACTTCGTGGGTCATTGGATGGGGGGTGGGAAAGAGGAGGGATCTTCTGTTACTTGCAAATTATAACAATTACCAAGTATCTTGGCAGTGTCCACTTATACTGCATGGTGTGCACTTCCCTTTATTGAGTTTTTTACTGCTGCAATTCTTTGTTGTGTCTGAAATAACAAATGGTTATTCTACCGTGCAGCTCCTTTAGCATACTACTAATTTACTTAACATTTTGTGCATAGTTCTAAACCTTGCATATACATCCGCATTATTTGGAATATCTCATTTGTCAGCTATCAAATATTGGTTGTTAAAATGCATATTTTATCTTTAGAGAATAAAGAATGTATTCTGGTGAACAGCCCTGCAGTGGCAGAGAAACAAAATCAAGGGAAAAAATCTTCTTATCCCTAATGTTTGATTCTGTGCAGCTGGTACCAAAACTCTTCCACAGAAGTGTGATGCTTCATTGCTGAATCACAAAATATTTTCTAACAAAACATACATTTTTCATTTTAGGTTGCTCAAGATGCTGCTCTTTATACTGGGGATCCATACTTAGGAATGGAGTTATTTGAAGCTGCAGGCGACATATTTTTCAATGGTGCCTGGGAGAAGGAAAAAGCAGTGTCTTTCTACAGGGTTTGTGGTCTGTTGTTTATTTCTATTATGGTAGCACTTAGGGAGCTACAGTCCTGGCTTCATTGTGCTAGGTACAAAGCACAGAACAAAAACCACTCTCTTCTCCAAAGAGTGTCTGTTTTACACTCTATGCCATAAACATTGATGGATTTGGCTCAGTAACAGTTGACCTGGCTGAGATCAGGTTATTTGATTCCATGCTCATAAAGCAAAGTAAATAATTTACTAAATATGAGAAATTAACTGCTAATTGGTATGTTTTCTGTGCTTCAGCAATAACCAAATGAATTGTATTTGCTTATTTCAGGACAGAGCTCTTCCACTTGCTGTAAAGATCGGAAACAAAAAGGCAGAACTCCGATTGTGCAACAAACTAGTGGAACTGCTGCTGAGGCTGAAGGCTTATGAGGAAGGCCTGGAATATGCAAAAGTATCTCTCTCACTCAGTGTGAATTTAGGTAAATCAGCGTTTACATAAAGTTAGTGACACTACTATAAGTGATAGAATTTGGGGAAGGATTTATCACTTTTCTTTTAATTCAGTAGTGTTTGTTGTCAAGGTTTTGGGTATTAGGAAGTCAGTATTAATTTCATTGCTGTTTTTAATTCTTTTCTAGCAGGGAGATAAACCAGTTCCTAAACTTCTTTTAGTTTCTTCTCCTCCTAACTTCTTCCAGTCTAATAATATTCTACCCTCTATATTTGCTAACCCAAATGAGATACAAATAGGTTTTTGATGTTGTTAGGAGGAAATATTCAAGGGGAGGCCATCTGAAACCTGGATTGTAAGCATTAATCTGCTCGAGGGCTCATTTAGGAAGTGAGGAATGGAGGCTTGATCTGAGGTATTGTATTTTCATGCTGGTTCTTGAATATTAGAGCAGTTGGCCCACTTAGTGAGACCTCAGCTATGATTCTCATTTTGTATCTAAATGTGCTAAATTCCTGTGTTATGATCTCTTGCGGCAGCATGAATTTTGAAGGCCTTTCCCTGCCCTCCATCAGATACTTGAGTAACTGAGGCAGGCGTCTCTCAGACCCCTTTTTTCAGGTCAAACATTCTCAAAATCCTTCTTCATAAAAAACACTTTTTGTAGCATAAATTGACCATGTTTCCTTCTTAAAAATTTGCGTGCTCCCTTTTGAGCAATTTGACCATAACCATATATATTTATATAGGAGAGACTTTGTACTTCGACTGCTTGTAAGAATGATCTCTTTCCATTAATTATGCAACCTAGCATACTGTTTCTTTTTATTCCAGTAAGGCCTTTACTAGCCCGCCTTCACAGTATTGCTCACTGTTACCACCCTTTCCCTGGAAAATCCTTGATGGCTTATGAAAAGAAATAAAAATCCTAAATTGCATAAATTTAATGTAGTTGACTCAGGACAGTGAATACTGTAGATTGCCAGGATGCAGCATCTCTAACTCTGAGGAATGACCTGATTTCAAACTGATCGTCCATCTGGGACACAGATGATTAATATGCTATCAAGAAGAAGCCAAAAGCAGAATCTGAAACACAATCACTGGCCCTTCAGAATTTGGCCTATTCTTTTTTTTCCCCTCTTACTTTAAAAGGATTATTATAATAAATAGTGGAGTACCTCACAATTCAATGGGAAATGAATGAAAAGTATGGACTGGGAATTTCTGGGAATCCCATTTGGTACCTGTCTGCATACTTGGGCATCTTAAAAACCTTTAAAAATCTGGCCCCAAATGACTTTCCTGAGGTCACACAGTAAACTTTTGACACAGAAGGGAAACGAACCCCTGAATCCCAAGACAAAAACTAGTGCCTGACAGACCTTCCTTTCACTTCATTTTTACAAAAAGAAGTGATTAGTATCAGTTCCAGCTGGCTATTAAGACCAGTCTGGGGCTTTGCTTGTGAGCTGGACTGATTCCATGTGAAGAGTCAGAAAATTTTTTTGGCAATTTTTGTACTGGTTTTCAGGCTTTCCATACAGGTTTTCTACATTTCAAAACCTTTCTAATAGACAATTTGTGATTAGCAAAATATTAATAATAACTGACAACTTAGAGTGGGCTAGAGGAAAGAGAACGTTTCAGCAAAATATTTTATAAATAGTTAGAATCCTGGAATTGGAAGGGACCTCAGATTCCCTTTTGCCCAGCCTCCTGTACAAGTATCTGATGTAGTATTTCTAAATGACCCTTGACAACATTTTGTCTAAGTACAGATAGTCTCCCCCCGCCCCCCCACAAAAAAGCAAAAAAAAAAGCACAAGGCTGAATTGATTCAATCTTTGCAAGTTTCTCTAAGCTGCATAGATTGAACTGATATTCACCTTTGAATCTGGAAAGGCAGCCAGTTGCCTGCTGTAGCCCAGGAAAGAAGTGGGGAGCTCTAGAGCATGCCTCCCAGCCTGTCTGCCACTTTTGAGGGCACCTGAATACAGCTGAACAGGGTGCATCCCTGATTGACTGCCCGGCACATGCCCTCTGACTCCCTGCTGTCCCCCGGGACCAGGGCTGAAGAGTGGAGGCTTTGCTGCCTCAGCAATGCCAGAGCCTGGGGGTAGAGTTGTCCCTGCTCGGCTGGAGCAGACAGTGTAGGCCAAGGCTAGCCCACCCACCCTGCAAGAGGGGTTTTGTGACAGAGGTGCAAAGCATCCTGGGATGCTGGGGGACTGAGAGTTAACTTGAGTTGGGAGGGGATCTGGGACAGAAGTTTGATAGACTAGTTTAACCTAAATTAGTCAGGTTTGATACTACTTTCATCCACGTCTATCTTAATCCAGTTTCAGCCATTTTGAAACTGGTTTATATGCACTGAACTTCTGTTCTGTTACAGGCTTAAACTAGTTTCTGATCACTTAAACCAGTTTATGTGTAATGTCTATCCTTAGCCTTTTGGTTAAAAGTTGAATTTTGGGTGGAAAATTGAATTTTTTGAATTTCAGTATAACCATATAAGAAAGACATGGCCTTTTGTTAATTAGTAAAAAAGACAGTAATAAGACATAGTCGGGAACCAGGATCCTGAGAGAGCCATTGCTTGAAACATTTATTTCAGCATTTATTTCGGCAGACATAATATGGCCCATGGGCTGGATCCAGCCCACAAGGCCATTCTATCTGGCCTGTGGGGCCCCTCCAAAAAACAATTTTTACAGGCCCATGGCTGCCTCTCTGAAAGCTGGCGGGATGCAGGATTTCACAGGTTGCATGCCATTGAACTGGGTGGGCTCTGTGCTTCCACCTCTGGGACTCCTGGCACTCCAGATGGGAGATCGGTGCAGAGGCACTGAGTGCAATGGTGGTGACTGGACAGCTGATCAGTGAGGAGGGGAGCTCCTGCCTGCAGGGCCAGGAGTTGCATGTTGTGGCAGGGAGCCTGCCCGGCCTGATGGTATGGGGTTTGTGGGGGTGTGTTGCGTGTGTGGAGGGGGGGTTGTCCCATATCAACACCCGCACAAACCCTATACCCCACCCCAACAAACCACACACCCACCCATCCACATGCTTACACCATCCCACACCCCTTCACAACTTCCCCCCCCCACAAATGCCACACACATGCACACCCCCACATAATATACAAGAGTAATATTTTATTTTGAGCTTTTATGCAATCACTTCTACATAAACTATGCAAATGCACTGAATCAGGACAAAAATATTTTTTAAATGAATTTAAAATATAGTACATGTTTGATTTTTAGAATATGATTTTTTTTTTTTTCATTCTGATTCCAAGATGGCAACCCCCTGTCTCAAAAAGAGTACTTCTAAGAGCAAGGGGAGGGACTTCTGGTGGCAAATGTCAGGAGTTAGTAGTGGGACTTTCCCTCCCAAAATGGCATTTGGGGCGGGGTCTCTCTCAAGGGGAGGACTACCCATGTGGCCCTTGACAGCTCACCAAAAGTTAAGCAGCTCTCCAGCCAAAATAATTGCCCACCCCTGATTTAAACGGTTAGACTTTTGAGTGGGGTTGCTATCTCCTGCAGACAGGAAATAATTACTAGTTGTTTTTATTTTCAAATACTCAGAAGACAATCAAATACTGCACTGAGGACTACCGTATAAGTACCTAGTGTGAAAGATTCACACTCTCACAAAACGAAGCTTTTGTAAAAAATCAAGGACTCCAGTATTTGGCCCCATGTCTAGTTGGGTAAAGTAATCTCTTCTTAATTTAGCTTTGGTTACTGACTTCTTAATTAAGTGAAAAGAAGCACAGAAATCAGAATTAAAGAAAAAATATCTTGTATAACCCAGTTTGGGAGGATCCATCTTCTCACTGCATGTCAGAGTTGTATGCTGATTTGTGTATCATCTCATCTAGGAGATCAGCTAAATGAGCGAATAGCATATCATCGGCTTGCTGCCATCCATCACCGCCTCGGTCAGTGCGAACTTGCTGAACACTTTTACCTGAAAGCGTTATCACTCTGCTCGTCTCCTCTGGAATTTGATGAAGAGACACTGTATTATGTGAAGGTCTATTTGGTCCTAGGAGACATTATATTCTATGACCTAAAGGTAAGACATATGAGGGAATTGAGGTCTACTGTGGAAAACATTTTGCACTTTTTAATATTCCATGAGAACCTTTCATTGGATTTTTCTTCTAATTGTATGCATAGGAATAATGAAGAGTGGGGAATATATCGTTTATGTAACACTAGAGGTCAAATCTTTTGAAAGGCATAGGTATAGCAGTGTCCCCCCTTTTTGCTGCATGTACAGGGCGAACAACCCAGTCCTCTCCTTTTCACACGGGCAGCCTAGTTTCTCTCCTGGCTTCTTTCCTAGCCTGGAGTGTAGCCCGGCTCCTTTCCTGGTTGTGAACAGAGTGTCAGTATCCCAACTCCTCTCTGCTGCATTGGAAGTCAGGATTCTTAGAAACATGTGGAGTGCCTGCAGCACAGACCGCTTCCTGGGCCCCCTCCCTCTCACTGTGCTGCCCCGTCTTGCCCCCAGCAGTTGGGGCAGGAAGCAGAAGCTGGAGGAGAGAGGGGGAGCCCAGAGCCCCTGGCTGCCAGTGCAGCAGGAACAATGGGACAAGTAGTGGCTGGGTGGGAGCCCATGGACTGCGTGTTAACTCCTTCGGGGCTGCATCAGTTGGACAGCCCTGTTGTAGGTCCTCCTCCATCCCTTATGTCCTGCCTGCTGTGAGTGCTCTAAACATTAACTGTAGGCTAAGCTTGGTGAGAGCTTGAAGGTGTGCTGGAGCGGACTATGCATAGAGGAAGGCAAGATTCGTAAGGATAGAAGGAGGTATAAGCAGTAGCCTGATGCTGTAGCCTGGTTGTTGGGGCAATCAGCTAAAAAGGGGTGGGGGGGCTGGAATCTGTTTTCCACATCCATTCTATATTAAACTGTCATTTATGTAAAATAAAATAATAAATCATAATAAACTAATAAAACCAGGGAGCAGGGATGGGACCTCAGCATTCCCCACTGACAAAACTCAGTACTTCCCACTTTGTGAGCAAGTGCTCAGAACATGGTCAGCATCCCCACCAGAAACTCCTCTTCCAGCACCTCTGCTTTTATTACTTTTTTTTTTTTTTTTTTTTTAAATGACTGTGCCCATTCCTGTTGGTCACAAACAGTATTTTCCAATAAAAATATTGAGAGAAGAGACTTTCAGTTAAAGGCCCCTGTGTAGTCACTGTTGTGGATTTTCAGGGGAAGCTCTTCCTCAGGACTCCCCTTCCCCATAAAAATCCTTGTCTGGTCTCTGTCCTGAAGGGGCCCCTGTCAGCCCATCCTAGCATGGCTTTTAAAGAGAAAGCTTTAAAGACTTTGAGACCCTGGGTCTTCTTTGTTCCTGGCTCCTCTGGCTATCCTTAGCAACCTTGGAGAGTTAACTCTTTGCTGTGCTCCTGGGAAGGGAACTCCTGATTTCTCTCCAACTCTCTCAGAGGCTCTTTTTCTTCTCCTCCAGCACAGTGAGCCACATTAGCAACAAAGCATAGCAAAAGTGTAGCAGTCAACTTGGACTAATTCTTCCACTGAAATGAAGCTTGATGTCACCAGGAACCAGTCAAAGAGCAGTCGGTCTTTGGGGCCTGCTGCTAGGCCCAGACTGTTATAGTCTTCTGCAGTAAAAAGACCATGCCGGTGTCATGTTCTAAGACTGTCTACAGCAAAAGATGCTCACGCAGCCCTCCAAAGTGTTCCCTACAAGAACTCCAGGCTAGAACAATAGCCTCTTTCAGCTACTGTCATTCCTGAAAGTGTCCCTAGGTGCTGAGTACTTTTTTGAAAGTCTGGTCCAAGTACCTAATCTCTTTAGTTTGAGTACAGAATTTATGATTGAGACCCAACTTTTCTTTTGCTTATGCTATTATCATCATACATTGCTTTGTATAATACATTTTATATAACCTCTGTTTCAGGATCCTTTTGATGCAGCAGGATACTATCATCTGGCACTTGCAGCTGCTATGGACTTGGGGAACAAAAAGGCTCAATTGAAGATTTATACAAGACTTGCAATTATCTACCACCACTTCCTTGTGGATCGGGAGATGTCACTGTTCTTTTACCAGAAGGCAAGAACCTTTGCAACGGAGCTTAATGTTCGGAGAATAAACTTGGCCCCCAATCAGTATTGTAGGAATGCAGCATTGGTACCTCTGAAAGATGTCCTGTGAAAACTTGTCAGACAGCTAGAGGAACATTATTTTGCATTTATGAGACCATCCAATATATTCCTGACTATTTTACATTGACACAAAATTCTGGGGACTCGGCATCACTGGCTAAAATACCTGTCTTGACAAGAGTGTGCTGGCATTCACTTGACACTTTAGACTTAATCTGAAAGCATAAATTGGCCTAGGAAGTAAAGGAAAAACCTCACATTTTTGTATCAGAAGTAGTTTTCTCTCTTGTTTAAATTCTTGTTGTTGCAAAGTCAGAGCTTAGAATATGAATAATATACATCTGCTATGAAATGTCATAGTAAAGCACTCTAAATGTAAATAGAAAATCATGACTGCTCCCCCCACATTAAATAAGATCTATTCTAAGAATAATATTATAGACTTGCATCTGTGTCTTCCAAAATATTTATGCTACAAGGATCATAGGCTCTGGATCCTGAGTGCAGCTCTTGACTTGGGCACTTAAGCTCTAGACAGAGAGGAATTTCAGACACCCTGGCTTTGCGGTTCTTATAGATCCATTCTTCCTACTTAGCATATGAGATTTTTTGGACTTCCCTGCTGAAACACTGACTTCTCTTCCAGACACTGTGAAGAGAACCTAGATACCAATATTGGGTGTTGCTTTTCACTTTGGGAGTCAAGTGTTGCATTACCTAATTGAAAACACTTATTGCATCTAGTCCAACATCCTTTTGAAAATGGGATTTATTTATTTATTTTGGGCTTCTACATTTTTATCCTTTGGGAAGTTTTAACCTAGATAAAACTGATTTAATTCACTCTTCGCTTCTCTATCTAGGATTCTGGGAGAAAATCTTCACATCAGAGCATATGTTACTGATGCATTCTTATAGTCTCCAATTTTATGGATGCCTGAATTGAACAGACAAATCTGAACATTTCTAAGTTATTAGAAATGAAGGGTCTTGTCCTAGGGTATTATCTGTATGGGAAATTAACTTTCTAATAAGGTCCTAGATTCTAACTATTAACTGAGTGCTGTGCTAAGCTGAAAATTAATGTACCCTGTTTCACAGCTACATACCTAAACCAGCAAACTTGATGAACTTCAGCACAAGTGTCTAATTATGATCTCTCCAAAATCAAGCAGGCTGTAGGAGGTGTTGCTTTTCTGATTATTTACCAGCATTCTTGTCTTGTCAGCTTCTCACAGCTCACAATACCAGGCAATTTTTCATTTCAGTTGTCTTTGCTCTAATTCTATTTATTGCAAATCAGAAGCAGAGTCTTATCACCTAGAGTTTCTTCATGTTCCAGGAAAAGAAGCTGCACTTCCTAATCTGAAATTCAATTTTACTGATAAGACCTATCTGCTTTCTTGCATAACTACTTCCTTCGGTTGCCCCGAGTCTTATTTACCTAGCATTTCAGACCCTTATATTAATTAACTGCCATGAAGCTAGGTTATGCTAGGGCATAAGATATAGGTGTCTAGGCCTTATGGCTCCTAGTCACAAGGTACATTATTGGAGTCAATGTTATATCTCAATTTGGTTTTGACAAAGATATAATGAATGCTCTATCTGTACCTTTTTATCTCTTGATTCTGCAACTTCTGCTGAAGCTCCAATATGACTGTAATCTTCCTATAGGTGTATCCCAGTAAATGTGCCCTGAGTTCTACAGGTAATCCTAGGATCGTAGATCTAGGATTGGGGGGGCGGGGGTTGGCAGATGGTGTGGTGTACCATCACCTATAAGCATGATGCACATTTTTCTCCAGTTAAAGAAAAACCAGAAACTTTGTTAATATATGTTAAAGGTTTAGTGCTATATTATTCAGTTTTAAAAACAAAGCAAAATTTACTGGAATTTCTCTAATTTGCTATCTTTATATATGAAGTTTAAAAAACTAGGCAAAAATGGTCAATATAATAAAAATATACTGTTTCATTAGTCCTGTAGTTTATTATAGTTATATGTACATCTCTTGAGTGTCTTGACAATGCTTCCAATACTTCAATGTCAGTCATTTGAATACCTGAGTTAATATTACTACATTTGAGTTGGTTTTTAGCTGCAGAGCTAAAAGAAGTCTGCTGAGCTGTGAAATAGAAGAGAGGCATTATCAAGAATGGCTAACATACAACAAAATTGCAGAAGAAAGGATAGTTTGAATAGTAGAAATCAAAACCATTAAAAAGGATCAAGAGTGATTAACACTGGTAGAGTGGAGATTTGATTAACAGGAACTGGGTATCTAATAATGAGCCATTATTAGATATTATTAATTGACTCTCTCTCAGCACTGCCTGAATAGTAATGTGACTGCCCCTCCCAGGTTTTTAAAATTTTTGGGTAGAGCAGAAATCATGACTCTATTCCCCACCTCCACTTCCCCCTGAGCCCCCAGATCAGCCCCTGGACACGGGGACAATTGAATTCCTGTAATAGAACCCCGCCCCCCTTATAAACCAGATTTTATGAAGTTTGTCATATAGAACACATGGTATATCTTTATCAGGTGCTACCTATTACCTGATTTAGTTGCTAAACCCAAAGGGGAACTTAGGCAGACTTTAGGGAACTGAGTCTAAATTAGGATCTGTAAAAACCGTGATCATTTGCTGCTTAATCCTGGACATGCCTGAATCCTTAAGGGTTTGACTCTATTTGACTTGGAAGTTCCCTAACTGATCAAGTCTGAGCAGCTTGGTGCACAGCTCTCATCTAAGCATGATCAGGATGCAGAAGCTTCTCTGTCCGAGGTATAGCACATGTAATGTACATTGGTCCTAACAGCCAAAATTGATCATGTAAAATTTTAGTTTGGGATTACATATAACCAAAGGAAAATCTGTAGGGGGTGGGGGGGATGCAGTTGCACAGTCGCATCCCTTTTCTACAGTGCATCTCAGAAGCTCAAATTCTCAGCAGCCTTGGATGCCTGGATCAACTGTGGAGTCTGGATCATGGCAAGGGTGCAGGAGCTGGGAACTCTTTTTAAGTCCTTGAATTGCATAAGAATCTGCACCCCCCCCCCCTTTTTTTGGAACCTATTTCCTTTCCCTTCACGTTCAGCATCATTTTCCCTGCTCTCCCATTCTCTGCTTATGCCTCTGGATACAGGAAGGGAAGGCCCACCTGCTGCCACCTGTCTCCAGCTGGCCCGGGGGCATGGAGAACCACTCGGAACCACTCCTGCCCTGCTCCAGATAAGGATATGTGGCATCTGCAGTGGCAGGTGAATTCCCCCTTCCATGTCTGGTTCCCTGGGTGTTCCCTGCCAGCCTGGGAGTGACATGGAGAGGGGAAACCTGCCATTGCTGTCCCCACCCGAGCCCACTTCCCTGAAAAGACACTCCCTGCAGCCCTGACTGGAGTGGGACAGGAATCCTCCCTTCCTGCACTGAGGAGGGGAGAGAAGGGGGGTGCCACTTGATTCTGATCTGGTTTTCAATAGCTTCACTCAAGTAAAAATCCAGTGAAATTATCCCTGATGTATACTGCATGAAGGGGGTGCTGAGGGGAGGTAGGGTTGGAGAGAGATTCTTATCTGATTTAATGACTTCAAGTCCTCAGCTGCTGCTCCCATGTTGTCTGCCTGCCCCACTTGGGGTGGGGGGAGAAGGCTGGGAAGTGGGGTGCACCCACCAGTGTAGCATTGCTCCTGCATCCCCCTTTTCAAAATCCTAAATCCGTCTATGCATATAACCTTCTCCCTCTTTCCTTTCTGCATAATATTGCGTTGCTCAATTGATCATACTGGATGACACGCTGTTCAAGTGATTTGGTTTTGTGTTTTTGGTTTTTGTTTTTACTTACTTTGTTCCCCTTAGTTTGTACATCAGGTACCTAATACTGAGTTGGTTTCATAGAGTAAGTAGACTAATGACTGCTCTTTTTTACTAGAAATGTAAACGTCTTATGCCAATTGTGGGTGGTGAATAAAACCCAGTTAATACAGTCCTTTAGTTGGTTCAGTCTGAACAGAAAATACTACAGTTTAGGAATTCAGTATGGAATATGTGTGTCACCACTGGTTTATTAAATCTTGAGCCACAAGATGGTGCTCATTAGCTTTCAATAAAGCAGGCTCCCCCCCCAATTCAGCACTAAAGGAACATTTCTATGCAAGACTGAAAAAAAGATTTTTAAAAAAGCATCCAAACCAACAGAGAACAACAAGAAGAAGCATGACAACAGTCTGAATTTAGCAGTTATGTTTTCTGGAGAACGTATTCTACATAATATGACTGATTAAAATAAAGCTGAAATAAGATGCAATTTAAGAACACAGTTAATATATCTGACGGGCTAGGTTTTGTTCTAATTTATAACGGTATCAGTCAGAAATAACTTCAGTGGAGTTTTAATTGAGCAAAACTATTGAAAATGGTATCAAGAATCAGGTTTATTTCAAAAGGGGAAGCTGGAGGTACTGCTTTTACTGGTTTCATTTTACAGGATGGCCAATGCACGTGCAGTAAATGACAAATTGGCATTGCTAGAGAACTTCTGCACACTTTTAGTTCAGCAGAGCTCTGAAAAATTAGTAGAATGCCTGCTCAGGTAAGGACTAATCCTTTAATAAATTATGGACCCGTGTTATTGTTCACCTCTGGCAGGGCAGAGGGCCAAGGATCCTCTCCAAAAAGGCAATGTAGATTTTAGAGCTCTGGAAATGTGCACAAAGATGGCTGTGAAACAAATGATGGTATCAGTTGGTATCCATATAGCAGAAGAGGCACATGAAGAGGTGGCTATGAAGGAAGGGGTGAGAATTGTAACACTTCAAAAACAAATGTTCTTCTTAATTGATTTGCCTACAGACAACCAGGAAGAGCCAGCTCCTAGTTTAGTTGTCAGGCAGAAACAGAATAGCTCACAAAATGGAGGGAACCCAGAAAGTACGAGACAGGCAAGTATTGAAACTGGTCGGACTCTGGCTGGTTTCTGGCACAGATGCCAACTTTTACAAAATGGTTAGCTTTCAGAAAGCTGCCCTACTTCCTGAGTTGTATGAAAGATTTAGTAGTGGGCAAATACATTTACAAATATTTAATCGTGGCAAAGCTTGGACTGTACACCTAAGCAACAGTATCTGCTTGCTTATGTAAATTGATTTGATTGGTTGTATTATTTGTGCAGATGTGTGAAATGGATGCTTCCCTAAATATTTTACTATTGCCTTGAAAGATTAGGGTCCAAATCCCAAGCAGATCCAAGTGAGATTTGGTAACTCTAATCACTGAAGGATCACCCTATGTTTCCATTTCAGTGTGTTGACATGTTCGGCAGATTGTACACTGATATAAAAAAAACTAGATAGGATGACACTGATTTATACTCTCATGGAGTTTTATATCCCTTTGAGGAGAGAATTGTGAATCCGGAAATGCTTGAAAGTTTTCTTGAGCAGGTGTTCTCTGATGTACCGGATATAGAAATGATCGAAGTCTACTTCCTTTGCCAAGTCAGAGCAAAGGGATTTTATTAGTCTGTGGTAAAAGCTCCATTGTTAATGAAGTTTCAGTGAGTCTAAGTGAAGTGTTTCTATTCAGATTTTTTAAAAATCAAGGCCTCTTTAGACATCTCACAAAGTATGAGGCATTTAGCTATCCATTTGTTGGATATCAATGCACTTCACTAAAAAAGCTGTACCTCATCTGTGAGAGAGATGAACCATCCCAAGACTGTGGAATGAATGTATGTGGGTGTGCAGATAAAGCAAACCCAGCCAAAATGAGACCCTCTATTGTACATACTGCTTCCCCTAAGGAGAGGATCCCTTCATCCCCGACTAGGAAGTGGCTCCTATTAAAATGTCTAAAAAGGACAGCTAAGCTTTGTCAAGCCTGTTTAGAAGTTGGATGGGAGATTTGCCAGAGGAAACATTGATGCTACTGGTGGATCGGTAATTGTATCTTATACCCATACTGAAGCAATGCACTGGCCTGATTGATTGGAGTTGTGTTTATAAATCCAAGGTCTTGATAAATAGTCATGAAAAAATATGCATGGCAACAATGAGGAACTTCTCTCTAGTGTCCTGTCTAACTTCCAGTTGTATTATCTATGTTCTGTTTACAGACAGTTTCCCTACATAGGAGCTTTGAGATGCAGTGACAAAGTTTGTTGTGATGCCCATCATGGGAGGTGGGGCATGTTGCATTAGTGCAAGAAAATAATGTTGCATTCCTGAGAAAATCAAGTTAATCTGGTCTGAATAATTCTTTAACTCCTTGCTTCCTTGTAAAAGAAGCTCTACTACCCCTTAACTTGGCACCAACAGGATAGTTTCTTATCTTAAAGCCATAATGAAACTATTGCTTATGGAAGTGCGGACCAGTCTCCATTGAAATGTTTCCTGCAGATTTGCCTTTTGGTCTAGGATACTTCATCGCACATCCTTTGAAGCTTAACCCAAGTGCTGCACTATGAAATGATGATTAGAAGGAACTGTGTAATAAAATCAGTAAATTCTCCTCTGTGTTTAGACACTGGGAGGCACAGAGAGTCCCTCTCAATCTGGATTTTTTGAAGGAAAGTTTGCCAAAATAGTGCTACCAAGACACAGTTCTATGCTCCATTTTATCATGAATTGAAAATGTTACACAAAGGGCTATCCTTGTCGCACAGACATTTCTCCTGTGGTCTTCTGAAATAAACCTTGAAGGCCAAGCTATGCAAATTTTGATCCAGGCTCCACTTGAATGATAAAAACCATCTTAAATAAGTACAATAGCACATCTTCAGCAAAAGCATTCTTATGAGAAATAAATAATCTGTAAAGTGCTTTTCCCTTGTGCTCAGCTTTAGGTCTGTTGTACTTCAATTATACATAAGAAAAAGCATTAATGGGAATATTTTGCACACCAGGGGAAAAACAACAGTCATACACAGACATACAGCTGA